TTAGTATCCATTAAGTTTTAAGGGGTTGACCTCTTCCAAAAGATGTTTTTTCATACACACAAATCCGAGAATCAAACTCCTTATCACATATTTAAGGGACAAAATTATCTGTCATCCATGTCATACTATATTTATTGAGGAAGAGAAAATATATAATAAAAACATGACTCTTATCGCAAATGATTCTCTGTCAGACTGAGGATGAGTGTGAAATTAAGGCTAAGTATGGAAAATTAGCCAAAAATTTATTCTCTCTTGAATCTTTACCAATTGTCACTTGTTTCTTTTCCAACCGTCTTCCCAACTACAAAAAAGCTTGTAAATGACCTACTAATATGAATTAAAGATTATAGTTAACTTTCTAAAAATTTACATTAAATCTTGAATAAATCAAGGTCTCAAGTCAAGGAAAATTGGATAAGTGCTTTAAGATAAAAGAAATTAATTATAACACTTATCAGTTAGCCATCATTATTAGGATGAGATTTCTTTTGTTGTTTTGTGAAAAGGGAAAGAGAGAAACCTTACTTTCTGTATAAGTCTTGAAATTAAGAGCTACACTAAACTTTTTGGCTTGTTTCCATAAACAATGTCACGATAAAATTGAAGAGAATGAGAAAGATACCTTATTCCACACTAATAAATGGTAAGGGTAGTGAAGAAATTCGGTACTTGAAGATATTCTGCTTCCAAGTTTTCATCTGTTTGGATTTATAATCTGTGTTTCATCGACTGCTGCCAAAGCATTTTAATCAGTGCTTCAAGATATTTTGTTGTCCTCAGAGGGGTAATGAATCTAACTGCTTTGTCCTTGTTGTAGCAACATGATTGAAATAAAGAATCATAGTTTCTGAATGGCACCAAGTGCTACCGTACTCTACTTCACTTATAAACCAGCATAAAATAACATCGATGTTGTTCAGGGAAAAGTTTATTCTATGAACCTGCTGCTTTATATGGCACCTATAGCTATGATGGTCTTACTTCCTGCAACACTGTTGATGGAGAGAAACGTGATTCGAATCAAAATAAGCCAATAGCTCTTGCAAGAAAGGATATCAGAATTTTTTGGTATCTAAGTTCTTCTCTCGCATATTTTGTGAACCTGACTAATTTTTTGGTAACCAAACATACAAGTGCACTTACCCTTCAGGTATGTCCTAATTACCATAGAACCAATTCTTGTTTAATAAGGCATACCATATACATTTGTCATTTTTCTTTTTCATATGGCCATGTGGGAATAACTTGACAGAATAAGGACTCATTTTAACAAATTTCCTTCATTTCACATACTAAATTCTAAGGGGAGCAAACTTAAATGAAGCTAACAACAGTTGTTGAGCATTCAAAAACCCCATTTCAATGATAGGAATGCTTGGCTATGCACTCACTGTTATTGGAGTTATATTATACAGTGAAACCAAAAAGAGGTATATATAGCAGAAATTAGAAAAATTATTATCTAGATTACCAATCAGGGCAGAGTGTGATTTACCACGAGCGAGAGGACCAACAAGTTATTCATATAAAATTATGAGCTTGCAGCAACAACTTTGTTACACGTGAACAGTGAACACGAATATTTTTTCCCCTCCTTTTTCATTCATTGCAATTTGCAAGCGGTGTGGAAGTAGTCACACTTTCATGCTCATTCACTTTTTTCAGTCATTTTTAATTTGCTTTGCTGTTCCTTCAATCACTGCAACTTCTTTTTCATAGCATTTAAAAAGGAACTCCAATAATTTAGCGAGAGGACCTGTCACGTACATGATAATGCAAGTTTTGTATTTATATTTATCCTTTTTAAATTTTAGGAAAATGCGAAGTAGTAGTATCTATCCTAAGAGCATTGGATAAGAAATAAAAGATGAAAAGTATTTTATTAAAGTTTGTTAATGTACTCCATCGTAATTTTTAATAAAGAAAATATTTATTAATTCTTTAACCGATAGTTATTTTTTTTATAAGATCTCACTTGTTTAATACCAATCACGAAATAGGTAAAAAGCTTGCACAGAACCTTATCATTCGAAATTTGGACACGGTAGTTTTCAGTTTCAACACCATTAGAACATGTCGCAGAGTTATTTGTGAAAATCCATCTATTCATAGAACATCATCATTTTCCAAAAGCATATATAGAAGATTATCTTCTGAAAAAATCATATCATCTAGTTAGCAAATACAGCTGAACAAAAGGTGTTACACTTTTTTTCTTCTGTTTTTTTTTTTTTTAAAAAAAAAGAGTTGTTACACTTGGACTGTTTTGTAAAAGTTGGTAATTGAAAGCTGTTAAGTTAGTTTATTGAACTATAAGATTTTATTTTTTAACTCTCTGAAAATTAAAACAAACTAAGAACACTTCAATGGTAGTGCTTATTGTGTTGCTTAAGAATAAGCAACAGTACTTAAATTTCCATTAGAATGTTTAATTTTTTAAAATTTTGGTTTCTAATTTTTTATTTATTAATTTTAGTTTTAAATTTTTGTTGACTTTTACTTATAGTGTTTAATTTTTTTCTTCCATTAACATTTTGATTCGTAGTATTAAAACATGGAAAAAAAATTTTAATGATTAAAACTAAATAAAATTTGTTTAAAAATTAAAAACAAAATTTGACAAAATTTTAAATATTAAAATCATATTTTATTTTATTTTATTTTATTATAATTGAAACAAGCTCTCATGACCTTTTATGTGAGACTCGTCAAGAATTATTAACTGTTAACATAATTATCATTTTGACTATAAAATTTTATGTTATATGGGACTTTTTGGTTTTATTTTATTTTAAAAAATAAAAATAAATTATAAATAACATAAAATTAGTTGTTGTGACTGATAATTTGACACTTAATTAAATCAAAAAAGTCTTATACGAGTAATATATTTTGAAAGGCTCCATTTAAGATCGTAAGAGCTGTTCAGCA